ATAGTTATCTTCAAAATACAAATTGTTATCCATTAAAAAACTTTGTATTTCATCTTTCCTCAAATTTTTATTCGGTACTTTGATGAGCTGTCGCGAATGATAGGAAGCGTTGTCAAGAACTATTACACTATTCGCATCCAAATTTGGGATCAATGTGTTTTCAAACCGTTCCTCAAAAATATTAGCTTCCATGTTTTTATGATAGTCAACATTGCAGTCCTCAAATTTTCTTCGACATAATTTCAAAGAATTTGGAACTCATTCTTTTCTTACTCCGCAATGCACAACGATTAGTCGCGATCCTTTGTTTGTAGGCATGTAAGGCGTACACATTCTCGAACCATTAGTCCACCCTTTCGTAACTATGTCGTGAGAGTCGTACGTCTAATTCTGTTAGTTGTGTCCTAGATGTATTCAACTGCGAGATTATAGAAATCGAAAGACATTTCTTAGCTAACTAACAGTTTTGGTTTTAATTCTTCTCAGGCAGATTCACAATAGCTATGATATAAGTGTTAAAAGTAAGGTTTTATTTTGTGGGTGAAAAAGTTTGTTAACTAACCAGCGTAGCGAGTTGAGCAATTTTAGATAAAACTTACTTCTACCAGAAATATCATACAAAGTTTTTTGTACAACTGTCCTGTTTTCATAATAAAATAGATAAATTTAATATTTCTATGAAAACACATTTTGACATCTCTTGTCAGTTAACTATTTTCATGTTAATAAATCTAAAGAAATTAACTTTAAACGTTCAGGCCAGTCTCAACTCTCTACACAGTAGGTTGAATGAACTGACGCCTATCAGAAAACAACTACTTCCCTGGCTAATACCACGAAAGGCGTTGGATTATATCCGACATATAATGTTTACAGCTCACGCGTTTTGTTAAAAGTCACATTCAAAGTTTCTGTTGGTGTTTAATGCCTTGCCTAATGAAGAACAATTGTGTGTTCCTGACGATATTGAAGTGACTGCAAAAAGAGCTTCAATTGAATCGTTAGCAAAAAAATCGGCTCAGCAGTACGACATCGCATACTCTAGTTTTCTTAGTCTATCTAGAAGAGAAATCAAAAATATGGAACTCGTCAAGTTTGTGGAGCAAGTTTTCAATGATAAAGTCTAGTGCGCTCGTTAAATACAAGCAAATATTTCAAGATAATAGCATTCTTAAATCGGAAAACTGAGTTTTATAGGCTCAAAAATCAAAAACTCTAACGTTTGAACTAGTCCTGAGGTTTATAAATAAGGCGCCAGATAAAAAATGATAAAATTTGATACTATTTTCGGAATATATGGAGCCTGACGTTGTGAAGAGCTGTGCCATGTATTAATAGAAGACATTAAATTAATGAATATTACTGGAGTTTTTTCTCAACACCAAATCGTTATTTTTAACACCTCGTCACGTGTTTCGATCACCAAGTGATCATCTTCAAAGAGGAAGATTAAAACTAGAATCACGTGTCGAGGTGTTATAAATAACGATTTGGTGTTAGTGTATAGTGTATAGTGGTATAGTGTATCTTAAAAAAGTTAAATTATTATATAAATTATTGATTGTTCAAATTCCAAATACCAAAACGAAAATTGGTCG